TCATAAATTATAGGTAATAATTAAATTAAATAATAAAGCTAAAATTTATTTTTATTCACAATTTATTATTTAATTATGGTATTTTAGATGTAAATATATTCACTATGTTTCTTCCTCATCAACAAATTTCATGTTTCTTCGTCACTAAGCCACAAAGTTAAAAGACTATAAATGAATGACAAATAAACTATATATATATATGGGTAATCACTAAAGTAAATATTCAAGTTCAATTATATATATATGGGTAATAATTAAATTTAAATAATCAAGTTCAATATTATTTTAATTCACCATAATCACATTGTAATATGGTATAATAGATGTAAAACATTTCTATATTTTTCTTCTTCTCCATCACAGAGTTTAGGTTTCTTCACATTTAAGAAAATAAGTTAAAAGACTATAAATGAATGACCCTGTAATTTTTACACGTGCATAATATTTAAAATTAAATAATCAAGCTCAATATTATTTATATTCAACGTATTCACAATGACTTATGGTTTATTGCATCTAAAAATATTCAATATTTTTATCCATCATCACAAAATTTAGGATATTTTATCTCTAAGAAACAAACACAATAGACTATAATAGATGTAAAAAAAAATTATATTTTATATTTCTTCTCCATCACAAAATTTTAGGTTTTCATCACTAAGAAAAAAATTCAAAGACTATAATCCATGACATATGTTCATAAATTATAGGTAATAATTAAATTAAATAATAAAGCTAAAATTTATTTGTATTCACAATTTAAAATTTAATTATGGTATTTTAGATGTAAATATATTCACTATGTTTCTTCCTCATCAACAAATTTCATGTTTCTTCGTCACTAAGCCACAAAGTTAAAAGACTAAAAATGAAAGACAAATAAATTATATATATATATATATGTGGGTAATCACTAAAGGTAAATATTCAAGTTAAATTATATATATATATATATATATATATATATATATATATATATATATATATATATATATATATATATATATATATATATATATATATTGGTAATAATTAAATTTGAATAATCAAGTTCAATATTATTTTTATTCACCATAATCACATTGTAATATGGTATAATAGATGTAAAACATTTCTATATTTTTCTTCTTCTCCATCACAGAGTTTAGGTTTCTTCACATTTAAGAAAATAAGTTAAAAGACTATAAATGAATGACCCTATAATTTTTACATATGCATAATATTTAAAATTAAATAATCAAGCTCAATATTATTCATATTCAACTTATTCACAATGACTTATGGTATATTGCATCTAAAAATATTCAATTCTTTTATTCATCATCACAAAATTTAGGTTATTTTATCTCTAAGAAACAAACACAATAGACTATAATAGATGTAAACATAAAATTATATTTTATTTTTCTTCTCCATCACAAAATTTTAGGTTTTTCATCACTAAGAAAAAATTCAAAGACTATAATCCATGACATATATTCATAAATTATAGGTAATAATTAAATTAAATAATAAAGCTAAAATTTATTTTTATTCACAATTTAACATTTAATTATGGTATTTTAGATGTAAATAGATTCACTATGTTTCTTCCTCATCAACAAATTTCATGTTTCTTCGTCACTAAGCCACAAAGCTAAAAGACTATAAATGAAAGACAAATAAAATATATATATATATATATATATATATATATATATATATATATATATATATATATATATATATATATATATATATATATATATATATATATATATATATATATATATATATATATATATATATATATATATATATATATATATATATATATATATATATATATATATATATATATATATATATATATATATATATATATATATATATATATATATATATATATATATATATATATATATATATATATATATATATATATATATATATATATATATGGGTAATCATTAAAGGTAAATATTCAAGTTAAATTATATATATATATATATATATATATATATATATATATATATATATATGGGTAATAATTAAATTTAAATAATCAAGTTCAATATTATTTTCATTTCCATAATCACATTGTAATATGGTATAATAGATGTAAAACATTTCTATATTTATCTTCTTCTCCATCACAGAGTTTAGGTTTCTTCACATTTAAGAAAATAAGTTAAAAGACTATGAATGAATGACCCTGTAATTTTTACATATGCATAATATTTAAAATTAAATAATCAAGCTCAATATTATTTATATTCAACGTATTACAATGACTTATGGTATATTGCATCTAAAAATATTCAATTCTTTTATTCATCATCACAAAATTTAGGTTATTTTATCTCTAAGAAACAAACACAATAGACTATAATAGATGTAAAAAAAATTATATTTTATTTTTCTTCTCCATCAGAAAATTTTAGGTTTTTCATCACTAAGAAAAAAAATTCAAAGACTATAATCCATGACATATATTCATAAATTATAGGTAATAATTAAATTAAATAATAAAGCTAAAATTTATTTTTATTCACAATTTAACATTTAATTATGGTATTTTAGATGTAAATATATTCACTATGTTTCTTCCTCATCAACAAATTTCATGTTTCTTCGTCACTAAGCCACAAGTTAAAAGACTACAAATGAATGACAAATAAACTATATATATATGGGTAATCACTAAAGGTAAATATTCAAGTTCAATTATATATATATGGGTAATAATTAAATTTAAATAATCAAGTTCAATATTATTTTAATTCACCATAATCACATTGTAATATGGTATAATAGATGTAAAACATTTCTATATTTTTCTTCTTCTCCATCACAGAGTTTAGGTTTCTTCACATTTAAGAAAATAAGTTAAAAGACTATAAATGAATGACCCTGTAATTTTTACACATGCATAATATTTAAAATTAAATAATCAAGCTCAATATTATTTATATTCAACGTATTCACAATGACTTATGGTTTATTGCATCTAAAAATATTCAATATTTTTATTCATCATCCCAAAATTTAGTTATTTTATCTCTAAGCAACAAACAAAATAGACTATAATAGATGTAAAAAAAATTATATTTTATTTTCTTCTCCATCATAAAATTTTAGGTTTTCCACACTAAGAAACAAAATTCAAAGACTATAATCCATGACATATGTTCATAAAATATAGGTAATAATTAAATTAAATAATAAAGCTAAAATTTATTTTTATTCACAATTTAACATTTAATTATGGTATTTTAGATGTAAATATATTCACTATGTTTCTTCCTCATCAACAAATTTCATGTTTCTTCGTCACTAAGCCACAAAGTTAAAAGACTATAAATGAAAGACAAATAAATTATATATATATATATATATATATATATATATATATATATATATATATATATATATATATATATATATATATATATATATATATATATATATATATATATATATATATATATATAATATATATATATATATATATATATATATATATATATATATATATATATATATATATATATATATATATATATATATATATATATAATATATATATATATATAATATATATATATATATATATATATATATATATATATATATATATATTATATATAATATATATATATATATATATATATATATATATATATATATATATATATATATATATATATATATATATATATATATATATATATATATATATATATGGGTAATCACTAAAGGTAAATATTCAAGTTAAATTATATATATATGGGTAATAATTAAATTTAAATAATCAAGTTCAATATTATTTTCATTTCCGTAATCACATTGTAATATGGTATAATAGATGTAAAACATTTCTATATTTATCTTCTTCTCCATCACAGAGTTTAGGTTTCTTCACATTTAAGAAAATAAGTTAAAAGACTATGAATGAATGACCCTGTAATTTTTACATATGCATAATATTTAAAATTAAATAATCAAGATCAATATTATTTATATTCAACGTATTACAATGACTTATGGTATATTGCATCTAAAAATATTCAATTATTTTATTCATCATCAAAAAATTTAGGTTATTTTATCTCTAAGAAACAAACACAATAGACTATAATAGATGTAAAAAAAATTATATTTTATTTTTCTTCTCCATCACAAAATTTTAGGTTTTCATCACTAAGAAAAAAATTCAAAGACTATAATCCATGACATATATTCATAAATTATAGGTAATAATTAAATTAAATAATAAAGCTAAAATTTATTTTTATTCACAATTTAACATTTAATTATGGTATTTTAGATGTAAATATATTCACTATGTTTCTTCCTCATCAACAAATTTCATGTTTCTTCGTCACTAAGCCACAAAGTTAAAAGACTACAAATGAATGACAAATAAACTATATATATATGGGTAATCACTAAAGGTAAATATTCAAGTTCAATTATATA